TCTGGAGGACAGGGATAGAAGTATCCTCCCCCCCAATGCTGATTGTGAAAATATTCTCCTTTTCTTCCAGTCCTAGTCAGTGTCTTGTTTTCTACCAGATACTTTTGCTTTGACATCACTTATCCCTTCTGATTATACAACCTTCCTGGATCACATGGTGAATCCCAGCCAATCAGGAATCATGCGATGATTAGGGTGACATCACAACACAGTCAGCTTCATGATGATATCACCAAAAACAAAAAGTCAAAGTGAGGACAATATCTTCTGATTTATGATTCTTGATTCCTGATTTATTCAGCGTTCCCAACTAAACTGGGATCATTCAGTGAATGCTGCTGCATCTTCCCATTTCACTTCAGGCAGCGAAACAGACTAGGCCAGGGGTCCGCATGTGGCTCTTTTACACCTTTGCCGCGGCTCCAGGGCGGATACTAGTGAGGGGAGGAGGCGCATTGTGCGCCCCGACACTCCCCACTGTGACGGGCGCTGTACTGGCTGTGACGTCGCATGGGGGCGGTGCGTGCATTAGTCACGCACCGTCCCGACATCACCTTCCCGCCCGCCCGTCCGCTACATTGTAAGGGGCATGTACGCTGGCCACTGCATTGAAAGGGGGCATGTACGCTGGTCACTGTTTTGAAGGGGAGTGAAGAACACACACCAAAAAAAATGTAACTTGTTAATTTAACGTTTATTTCTAGGAGGAAGAGTAATTCTGAGGGGTCAAACAAAGAAATAATAAAAAAAAGTGACAAAAAAGTTATTTTTATAATGAGGAGTTTTGTGGCTCCCAGTTTTTTTTCCTTCGGAAACGGGTCCAAGTGGCTCTTTTTGTCTTAAAGGTTGCAGACCCCTGGATTAGGCCACTCCTACTAGGTAATAATGTCTATAAATCCGAATTAAGTTGAGAGAGAGGGAGAGCGCGAGAGAGAGCGCAAGAAAATGTAATGTTAATGAAAAGGCCAAGGGTGGGAAATTGGATCTGGCTAGTGAGCTGGACCCTGATCTCCCACAATCACTGTGAGCCACGTTGACAGGTGGGTGGTTGACATCAGGCGAAACGTCATTCTCTGCCTACTCCATGGTGTGAAATCAAACCATGCAGGTAAAGACCCGGGGCTCTGCAGGAGCTGTATGGGCCTTCATTGTGACTGCCTGAGTATAGGAAGCACTTCTATTATCTTTTTAATGATAGGCTGGTGGGGACGCCAGAGCATTTCAGAGTAGGGATGATGTGGAAGTACTCTGTGTCTTTAGGGATCATTTTCTGCAGAGGTAAAAAGGCCTTTCAGTTTTTTAATGCCTACAATGATGTTTGTTCATTTGATTGGCGGTGAACCTCAACCTGAAGGCCAAAGTAGAGACCCTACTTTGACCCATGAGGCCATTTTCCCCAAGTCATGCCCAACTGTGCTGCAAGCCTTGGACCACTTGGGCCTCAGTACCACAGCCTGTCCAGTACCTCCTTACATGCCTGCTCCACCCTCTAGCAGCCTTTTGGTTGGACCAACCTCTGACATGCTGAGCAAAGGTGACTGGGAGGCAGGGAAATTGGATAGAGTAATGTAGAACTTAAGTGTGAAAGGAGAATAGAGGAAGTTGCAGGAAATGCATAAAGTTACGTTGAGAGCTAAATGAGAGTAGAAAGAGGAAAATATGTAAGAAAAACCTTCTCTGCTTAGCCTTAGCACATCTACAGAAAATTCTTCCTAAAATGGGGACACTGAGTCACACTACTTGCAGAGCAAGTGTCTGTATTTAGCTTGAGTAAATCTGAGTTATAGCTCTTCCTGCCATGAGATGAACATTGTGGCAAAGAATTTAGCAATTTGCAAAGATTGGTTAGTGAATGTGCCCAGAGCTGGCTTTGAAGAAATAACTTTGTTTCAGAGCAATAGGGAAAGCAAACATCATCATCTACGTTACTATGTCACCTGCCTCCTCTTCCCAAAGGACTAGGAATGGGGAGAGACCAAGGTCCAAATCTCAGCCATGAAGCTTATTTGTCCCCCAGCCTAACCTAATTCCTACAGCTTCTGTGAACATAAAATGGGGAAAGGGGAAGAACCTTGTAAGCTGCACTGAGCTCCTTGGAGGAAAGATGAGATAAAAATGTGTAATAAAAATAATAGTAATTCCACAAGCAGGTAGTCAAATGGAGTTGAAAATGTTATCAGAGCCAAGGATAATCTTCTTCCAGAGCTGAGCTGACCTGAGCACAACTACCTAGTACCAACTGCAAATAACAAAAAGGAACACAAAACTAAAGTAAAGAGACTGAATCCCAAAATTTCTGAACTGTGTACTTAGGGAAAATCCCCAAATTACTAATTCCCAGGAAGAAATGTATCTTAAGATACAATAATAATAAAAATAAAAATACCTAGCATTTCTTTGCCTTCTGTAAGATATATAAACGGAGTAAGACAGCAGGATTCCAAAAATAGACATCTGATTAAAAATGCAGTAGTGTTACAAGTTTTCTCTCTCCTGCACACACTACACACGTTCATTTCTGGTCCCCAAAATATTTTGTTCTACCTTATTTTGTTTTACTACTTCAGCCCAGTCCTCATGCAAAGAGCCTTTCCCACATACACCAGCACAGAAACTAATCCATCTTCCTTCAGTTTCTCTCTCTGTCCCAACTGAAGCAAACACAAACACCATTTGACTGGATCACAAATGAGCACAGTCTCCCCAAATCGAGAGGAACCCCAAAAGACTCTCTCTCAGACAAACCAGGAAGCAAACAGGAGAATGATAGAACAGTGATGCAGTTAGTAGGGTTGCCATATTTCAGTAAGTGAAAAGTTGTTGAGCTTTCTGAGCTGTTTTTTAGGAAAATTGGCAAAAACGACACTGCTGACATGGCTTGCCATACGCCCAGATTTTACCAGACATTTTTGCCAATTTCTGCCTGGACACTGCTTCCAGTTATGCCCAGGAAATTCCAGACGTATGGCAACCCTAGTTACCTGCCTGTTTTTCTTCCTCTCTCCTCCAGCAACTGCTCAGACCCTTCTTCCTCTTCTCCCTCCAAACCAGTAGGCAAGGAAGGACTGTGCAGGCTTAGTTTTTCAAGGTGGTGAGGAAGCTATAGCAAGCTGACTAGTCAACTAAATATTTGCACCTGTTTAGAATCATAGAATTGAAGTGTTGGAAGGGACGACAAGGGTCTTCTAGTCCAAACCCTTCAAAGCAGGAATCTTTTGGCCAGCACAGGGTTCAAAGCCACAACCCTGAGATTAAGAGTCTCACACTCTACCAATTTAGCTATACCTCATGATAGCACCAGTTCTGTCACAAAGCAATGGTTTTCAGGTCTATACAGAATATTACCAGCACCCAGTTCCGCACTTTGCATGGGCTGAAATACGCAGCCAGTTGTGGCATCTAGATTTTGCATACTGTAATTACATATATTTATACTTAAAGCTGGCAGAACCGCCTACAACTGCATCAGCACTGCTTCATGGTAGTGAGATGGAATGGGCTTAGATAACCAAAAGGATTTCTTGACGTGTTGAAAAGGCATGTGGAATTGTCTTGTCTGCTATGGAAATGGAGGGTGCCACAAACATGAATGGAGGCAAAGTTTGGAGGGGACCATCCCAGTAACTGAGGGAAAACTGTCCATCCCGGTACAACAAGCAGAAACAACCATCCTGATTAATGTCCTGCCAAAGGATTGCAACCTGTCAGCTTTTCCAGGTGGCTCACAGGGCAATTCTATGCATGTTTGCTTGGAAGTACAGTCACACTGTATTCTGTGAGGCTTATACCTGGGAAAGTGTGCATAGGATTCCAACCACAATCTCCACAGTCCTTTCTCTCAACAATCCTTCTCTTCAGAATACCCATGATGTTGATTGTGTAATATAGACCCATTACCATTGGAAACTAGCAATGAAAAAAACATTCCTTTCCTGTGATAAGGTCTATATTAGGCAACCTTTAGAAGCCACACAAAATTCCCAGTTTTCAATTCCTACTTGCCTTATAGCAAGTAGCCATTTATAGGCAAATACTGTATCTATAATTTCTTCTCATATAGCCCTCCAAATTATGTGATTTTCACTCTCTGCACCTAGAAAATGAAGCTCTGGTTTTACTAAATGATTATTTATTTCACTTTGGACCACTAGAAATGGAAAAGTATGAAATGCATCCCTTTTTGCTGACTGATGGCATCTTTGGCATAATGGTAGACACTGGCCTATTACTGATAATATCCAGGCTTTTTACCCTGGAAGAGATGACAGTGGAGGTGTTGGGGCAGAAGTCCAGGGCCCCAGGCGGCAGGATGAGCAGGAGGCCCCCCAAACCCAGTAGGGGTTGCTTATCCCATTTTAAAGTAAATATACCCATCTAAAGGGGGGTTGCTGGGTTAAAGCAGTTAAGTTCACACTCTAAAACTGCCAAACTGCACCACGAAATATTGATTCTAAATTGTGAAGAAAAGTGGAATGGGTGATCCTTCCCTGCAACTGGAAGAAACTGGAAGACAGCAGTCAAAATAAAAAAATAAAAAATTGTCCAGTAGCACCTTATACACCAACTAAGTTTGTTCTGCTATAAGCATGCACACGAAAGCTTATACCAGAACAAACTTAGTTGATCTAAAAGGTGCTATTGGACAATTTTTAAAATTTTATTTTATTTCAACTGCATCAGACCAACACGGCTACCTACCTGAATCTGGAAGACAGCAGACAGAGAAAGAAGGGAGTGGGGAGAGGAAGAGAGAGATGCTGCTTTTACATCCAGCCTAGGTGCACTTTTGTTATTGTGCTGATGGTGCATAAGACACTGAGGATAATGGGGAAAATGGCCTGGCGCCACAGACACAGCCTTTAGCTAAGCCTGCTCCTCTTCTTAGTCATTGCCAAGGGACCATCAGGCAATGTCACACCTTGTCCTCTTGCACAGAGCACTTACCCTCTTGGATTCCAAAGGTTACTTTGTGTAGGAAAAAAAGAAATCTGTTCACTTACCTGCAGGACAGCTGATTTATGCCTTCAATGTAGTAGCACACGCCACCGTTGACGCAATAGGACTTGACTGTTTCATTGCATTGTCTAGTGTGTCCAGGCCCAGAGGAGAGAGTTGTAGTGACTGGGGGAAGAAAAAACACACACATTAAATGCTCGTTTTGCCATTTGTACTTCTTGGGCTAAGTTGCTGTGAGAATGAAATGTTTTAAAACAGCCACCCATGGCCTGTGGTCACACAGTTATTACTTTATTTGTTATGGAGATTTCTACTCCACCTTTACGCCCAGAGAACCTGTCATTGTGCCATGGGTGTGGTTGAGTCCACCGAACACATTCTCTTGACTTGCCCTTCTTATGCAGAGCTTAGACAAAATTTTATAGACCCACTCTTATGTCAATTTAGCTTCCTACCCGGAGAAAACCAGGTTTTACACTTGCTGAATAATGTCACTAGAGCTATACCTTCCTTGGTGGCCAAATTTCTTTTTTTAGCTTTTAAGCGTCGCAAGACTATAATTGACTGTATTGATATGGGGCTATCTGTTTAGCCCATTTTAGTGTTGGCTAAGTTCTAAAATCTTCCTGGATGTTTTAACTGTGTATTGACAAATGTACTTTTTTCTGACTGACGGTCGAATAAAAGGTTGATGATGATGATACTCCACCTTTAAAGCACATTGTAACAGCAACCAATAACACAGTTCAAACATACAAACAGAAGATTGAAACCAGCAAAATCTAAAATAGCAGAATAAAATAATATGGCATGGTTGAGGTTAAAAGTGGTCCCATATAATGTACTCTCTGGCAGGCAATAAGCCATAAAAGACTTAAAGGTGACTGAGGAAAAATGATGGTCTGTATATTTCAATATACACTGAACATAAATAAGATGATGGAAGTCGCCAAAGGAAGTAGGTTAAAGAATGCATGGCAAAGCTAAAACCAGGCAATGTGCTTAACACAGAGATCTGTGGTAAAATCCAGCCTCACCAAAACTACTAAGGTGCAGTTAAGACAGTAAAAGGGGCTTAGAAAGGCAAATAGTTTTTCCTACCCCCCCAGCCTGTGACCCAAAGCACACTTGCTAAGGGGAAACATCAGTTGGATTTACTTCTGAGTAAGCAGCTTTACTTCCAATGCTAGGAAAGATTTAAAATGTAAGGCCTGCCGGGAGTGTTTGTGTGAGGGGTGAACAATTCCAAGGCAGCTTCTTTGCTTTTCTCTCTGTGTGTGTGTGTCTTATGGTTCTCTTTTGTAGGCCATCTTGAAAATCTAAATTAATAAAATTATTTTTATTTTTTAAAAATGAGATGAATAAAACTGGGCAGGAGCGCTGATGAAAAACTAACACCCGTCCACTTTTCTCACAGACTTCTTAATACAGTGGTACCTCGGGTTAAGTACTTAATTCGTTCTGGAGGTCTGTTCTTAACCTGAAACTGTTCTTAACCTGAAGCACCACTTTAGCTAAAGGGGCCTCCCGCTGCTGCCGCGCCGCCGGAGCACGATTTCTGTTCTCATCCTGAAGCAAAGTTCTTAACCCGAGGTAATATTTCTGGGTTAGCAGAGTCTGTAACCTGAAGCGTATGTAACCTGAAGTGTATGTAACCCAAGGTACCACTGTATTATAATTATTAGGCTCCATTCTCTGATGCTGTCTCCGTTCCTAATCACACTTACTAGGGAGTAAGCCTCATTTGGATCTCAGCTGGAGATCCTTCACCAAAGGATTAGGCTGGATCTCCAAATGTATGGCAGAGCTATTAAATTTTATATGTACTGCAAGGAAGTGTCCTGGACTCAAATCTTTGCTAATTATCTCAAACAGCATGAAGTATAACTGAACAAGCTGAGAGGCTTGCTCTTAAGATTGTATTCATCTTAAAGATCTCATAATATATATCCACACGGGGTGTGTGCTCAAAGGGGGCTGCAGAAAAGGGGAGAGAGCAATACTGGACTTGTGCATGCTGGTGCCGCCACAGCTAGATCTCGGACTCATAGAATCATGGAACTGTAAAGTTGGAAGGGACCCAAGGATCATCTAGTCCGACCCCCTGCAAGGCAAGAATCCTGTCCACAGCTGTCCCTGGGTGGACTCGAACTATCAACCTTCTGGTTAACAGTCAGACGTACTAACCCACCACGCCCCAGGATAAGGGCTGGGGGTCATGAGGTCTGAGAAAAGTTTTATGCCCTCATGAAAAGGATGATGGTGCTTGGCCCACAACATAAGTTCAACTTATATAATCACTGTATAGCCCAAAATGTTTTGGAATTTCACTAGCGCAAAATGTAAATATAAATCTTCCTTTCTTATTTGCTTGTGACTTCTTTTTACTATGAAAAGCATGTCTTGCTGGAACAAGAGCCCCTCCCCTCAGTTTCCTGTTTCATAACTGATTCAGACTTCATTTTAATGTAATCTTAAGTCTCCACTTGAGAGTTCTTAAACAACTCAAATGTTAAATTGCTGGTCTTCTTAAAAAAAAAACACGTAACTTGTCCCTAAAAGATCAGCTGAGGACTTGAAAGTGACCAATGTAACAACAACTTTTAAAGAAGGATCTGGGGGCAGGAACCTGAAAAGTTCAAGTTTTGATGTCTGTTCCTGGAAAACTGATAGAAAACCTTGTTAAAGATACACCCAGACCATATATTTAAAGCACTCTTATATCACTTTAACAGTCATGGCTTCTCCCAAAGAATCATGGAACTGTGCTAATAGATGTTAAGAGACCCCTACAATTCCATTAGTAACCTACAGTTCTGAGGATTATTTGGGAGAAGTCATAACTGTTAAAGCGGTACAAGATGCTTTTAATGTATGTATCTTTGGACACGTGTGAGAGTGTCAACAAGCATATAGACGGAGGTGATCCAGTTGACATTGTGTATTTAGATTTTCAAAAGTCTTATGACTAAGTACCCCACAAAAGACTCCAGTATAAGCTTAGCAGTCATGGTGTCATAGATTTGGGGGGACCCCCCTAAAAATTAATAAATGGTAGGATATTGACTATTTGGAGTATTGAAGGGAAGATTGCAGGCCAGTGGAAAAATGCAGGCTAAGCTTTCTTCCCAAGCCAGGACCTCACCTTGGATAGAGACATTAAGATGGCAAAAAGCGTTGATGGACCATCTAAGGGGAATCTTGGGAAGGCAGAAGTTGCTAAGGTGATGGGGTATGTGAGAGATGACAGGAAAAGAGAGTCTTTAGCAAGGTGTGCTGGGAAGAAGAAGGAGAGAACAAAGGGAGAGATCCATCTTGGGCAAGCTGGCTGAAGGCTGGCTGGGAGAGATTACTTTGACTCCAGGGTTGCACTGCTAGGGGGGAGCAAGCCCTGTTTGAGAAGACCATGCTGTAAGATCTGGACTTCCTCCATGCAGACAGAAGGTGTAAATAGGTGAAAAAAAAACATATTGCTTAAAGCTGTGACAGTCCCCACAGCATCTTCAACTCTCCAAAAGAGCACAAACTCTGGGTGAGCGCCTGGAACCCCCCAGAATCTTGCTACCACTCAGCAGAGAGTGGGGGTGGCACCCAATCTTTGTGACAGTGGAGTAAGAGGAGAGGTCCTCTCGCAGATCAGTAACTGGCTAAGAAATGTGATGCACAGAATAAGAGGAATAAGAGGACAGTTCTCCCAATGGAAGGGCGTAGAGACCTCCCACAGTTGATACTGGAACCTGGTTTTTTTAGCTTGCTCATAAGTGATCTAGAGACAGCGATAAGCTAAGTTTAGGGTAGCTAAGTTTACTGATGATACCAAATTCTTCAGGGAGGTTAAAGCAAAAAGTTATTTTGAATGGACAATAAAATGTGAAATGCAATTCAATATAAGCTTGCAATATAAGCAAGTGTAAAGTGATGCACATTAAGGAGGGGAGAAACCCCTCATGGGGTCTGCACTGGTCGTGGCTGACCAGGAACAAGACTTGGGGGTCGTAGTGAAGACTTTGACCCAGTGTGTGGCAGTTGAGAAAAAGGTGAATTCCATAGTAGAAATCAAGGACTAAAAGATAAAGCTGGCAACATCATTATGCTGTTATTCAAATCTTTAATGCAACCACATTTGGAATGCTGTGTCCAGTTCTGGTCAGCTCACCCCAAAAGATTCATAAAATGCAACCAAAAAGATGAAGGGGATGGGGGAACTTCCCTGTGAGGAAAGCACTTCTTCATGCAGAGCACATTTAGACTGCACAATTCATTCTCAGAATAGGTAATGGTGGTCACCAACTTGGATGACTTTGAAGAGGACTGGACCAATTCATGGCAGATCAGGTTATCCATGGCTTCTGCCTCAAGGGCTGTGTTCTCCCTCCACTGTCAAAGGCAGCATGTCTCTGAATGCCAGCGGCTGGGAATCACAAGTGAGGAAAGTCCAGTTGCACCCAGGCTCTGCTGGCGCCCCCCCCCCCATGGGCATCTGGCTGGCCAGGGTGAGAGCAGGAGGCTCAAGCAGTTGGGCCTTCGGCCTGATCCAGCGGCCAGGATCTTCTTATGGCCCCCTCTATATGAAGAAGGAATTAAAGGCAACAGCCACCAAGTAGGTGCAAAGAAACAGGAACCTTAGAACTAGGGCTGAGCAGAACTTCTTTCAGTTTGGATTTTAAAGTCAATAGCTGCATCAAACAGCTAATAAAAATCAAATGGAGATCAAAAGTGTTTCTTGGTTTTTATCCAAGTCCAGGCCACTATGTGTGACTATATCCAGGTCTAGTTAGCTCAGTTAGGCTGGGAAGCTTCACAGATCTGGTCAGGATCAGAGATGTTCAGAGAGAGTGCTTCTCTCTTGTTCCCAGGTCTCATGAGCTTCAAGGAATAAAATACCATGAGGAATTTCAAATGTTTCCCCTTCAACAATAGCAACAGCAAAACTTAAACTAAATAGATCATTTTGGCTCAACTCTGCAACTTACCACTTTTCACATTCAGACTGCCCCGGACGGTGTCTCTGCCCAGCACATTCTCGGCTTCACAAGTGTATTCACCTGCATCTTCTACTTTCACTTTATTGAATTGCAATCTGGAATTTTTTCTGCAAAGTAAACAAACAAACAAATAGGAGTGAGACACAGAGAGAGGGGAAAGGCATTAAGCTGTGACCAAAGACATCAGGGCGCTTCAAATTCTGGAATCAGAATTCTACATAACATACCTGTTGGTGATGTCCTTAGGTCTATTTGCATTCAAAGAATGGGTCATATATACCTCTCCCACCTGCCATCATCCCCACTGTTGATGGCTGCACTGCCAGCCTTCATGCACTCAGTATGCAGGTTTGAAGGGGATTTTAAGCATGCAACTAAACACAAAATCCCACTTGAGAATGCTGAGTGCACAAAGGTCAGAAGTGGAGCCAGCATCTGAAAGCAAGTAAACCTAATGCTTGACTAGGGCTCTGGGATTTGATGCATTTACAAACTTGTGAATGTAGGACCAAATTTGGAAAACTTCACAACAGCAGCTTCTAGAGGGCAGGAATTTCTGTTCACTGCTCTGGACCTTGACTCTTAGCTGACCTGAGTATATTCTTGCCTCTGGCCTCTCTGGTTGGCCCTCAACTTTCTGGTCCTTGACTTTGGCTCTACCTGAGCTACAAACTCATCTCTGACTTCTGGTCTTCCAACTGACTGACTGCAGGTCTGGTACCACAGGTCCTGATGGTAATATGTAAACTGAACCTGCTATACAGAACCAGTTCCCAGAAAGACCCTTGGTGAGCTCCACTGCTTATTTCCCTCTATTACGAATATGATCAGTTTAAAACAAAAATAAGAGCTATCCGAACAATTCATCAGAACTTTTAAAAGGAAATAAATGGTCAAAACATGTATATAGTTAAGTATATAATGTCTGTCAAATTGTGTTCACTCCAAGCATTCAAAAACATTGGTGAGTCAAGACTCCTCTTTGCAGAAACCATGCTGATTTTTCACAAGTCCTGCTGTTCTACATGCTTGACATTTCTATCCCTAATAATGCTTTACAGCAATTTGCCTATGATTTCAGAAGGTTTCTGTTTCATTTGTGCATAAAATAAATATGACTTCTGTTCTGGTTTTGTTGTTGTTTTTTGTCTGACTTTTAACACCCGGTGAATTTTATATAACAGAAGGAAGGGAACGGTCGCTGTGTCCCTCATCCCAATGGTCCAAATGTCACTGTGACTCAACAGGGCAACAGGGAAAGTTAGCAGATTTTACCACCTCTTTCATGCTAGTGCCATAAGGAAGGGAAAACCATTGCCAGTCAACAGCAAACAACCAAAAGAACATGAGGAGGAAATGAATGGGATAAGGGTTGGGGGTATGAGAGAAAGAGACTGACCAAAGTGGGGGGCAGCTAGGTAGGAAGGGAAATGGGAATAATCTGGAACACAACCATGAAGAGATTTGCCATGCCCTGAGACAATGCATCCATCCAAACTCAATGCCCCTTCTTTGATTAGCTGCATTCTACAATAGCAATTTGGGTGGAAAACACCCAAGGAGACTGGCTGGGTATCCCATTGGAGTCAATGGAAAAACAAAAAGGAATGAACTAAATATGGATGAAAAATTCACCTCTGAAAAAATGACAGTTAAAACAATCAGATTTGTTAACTGTGTACAGAACAAATCTCTAATAATTAGTCTGGTTAAGAGGGAGTCCTGGTTCAACTGGCTTGAGCTTTGTAGGGAGGGCATACAGTGAATGTATATAACTCAAATTTGCTAATGTCGGGATAGTAAGGATTCCTTTCTCGCTGTACTAATCATTGAAACTATGCTGGTACTCAAGGACAGAGGAGTTATTAAGTTATTGCATTATTGCTCAACTCTTTTGCTACCTTATTCACATTGTATTCTGCTAATTACAATGTGAATAAGATGGCAAAAGATTTGAGCAATAATGTAATAACATAATAATTCCTGCTAAACTGAGCAGAAGAAAATATCTTCCTCCCCAAACCTCCTTCTGTTCTGAGCAAGACAGGCTTGCCTCTGCCTGCTGCTAATTAGTGACAGAACATGCAGCTCACAAGTAAGGAGTTTCCCCCTCTACTCCGGCAAACGTTCATTGAAAAGGACAACTCCCCTGCCCAGTGGCGCCAGGAAGCTGTGCAAGTTGTAAATTGATGGGAAAGGAGAAGATTTGACAAACAGGTAATTGCTACTTTCTGAAGAACACTGTACTCAGTTCCATTACGGCACATCATTACTGGAGGGGATGTTAAACTCACTTGGCTTGAGGAATGGGAAACAGAGAAGGCTGCTCAATATGAAAGCACACGGGTCTTAAATAACATGTGGCATTCGCCACAAACTGGCCTTAAAATGTCACTAATACTGGCCTTAAAAACCACTATTTTAAGTTTTCAGTTAACAGAACTTCAGGCAAGCATTTGTAATAGGCAATGGTCAAAATTTCATGACTGCCACTATTCTAGCTAGTACATAATTATGGTTGACAAAAACTGTGTTGTTTTTAAAGACTCTGCTAGACTAGAAATATCCACCCAGTTCAAGATTCTGTTTGCAGAATGCCTTTGGAAGCCACACAGTCAGGACATGATGGTGGCAGACAATTCCTGTTGCTTGATCCCAGGTATCCCATTCAAGGTATGGTGAGACATTATGGAAGGACAACACTGTGAGACAGCAACCAAAACACAGGCTGCCGTTTTTCATGATGGGGGTATGTGTAAGGAAAGAAAGCAGGAGAGCAGCTGATATCACAAACATATTGGTAATCCAATTAGCAGAGCATGTGTGGGGCTGCTTCATATTTCCAGTCCCAATTTCACTTTGAGTGGGAAGGTGGAACAGTGTGTTGAGCAAAAGCCAGATTTCATAAAGCCCAAGAAATTTCAAGATACTTTGTACGAATGTCTGACAGCCCACATCTTCTTCTTGTAGCCAAGAAGGCGATCATTTGTAGCCAAATAAGATTGTTTTCCATGAACACCGTCTTAACGGTGTGTCCGTAAGTGACAATGGAGCCCAATTCTGGATCCACACGTCCTTCCACAGTGGGGACATAAATTTCCAGGCGGGAGTTGATCACAGGGAGGGTTTGCCAAATGTGCCTTCCTCTTAGCTCATTTCTCCCTTTCGTCCTGAGTTCCTTTCTTCTTCAAAGTCCATGATGCCTTTGGTAGAGGCTATTCTCCAACTGGAGTGCTCATAGGCCAGTGTTTCCCAGTTGTCAGTGTTTATAGTACTTATTTTTAGATTTGCCTTGAGAGCATCTTTAAACTTCTTTTGTTGTCCACTGGCATTACGCTTTCCATTCTTAAGTTGGGAATAAAGTAGTTGCTTTGGAAGACGATACTGACATTAGTTTGCCTGTCTTCCCAAGTATATGCAAAAATTTTCAGAGACACTGTTGATGGAATCTTTCGAGGAGTTGGAGATGGAGTTTATAAGTGATCCATGTTTCACAAGCACACAGTTAAGTTGGTAGTACAATAGCTTTGTAAACAAGCAGTTTGGTTTCCCTGAAAATGTTTTATCTGCAACGATTTGGAACAAATTCCAAGACAATAGCTAACCATATTAACTGTCTGAATTAATTAAGGTATTGGATGTAGAATTATTATTGATAGTTTCAGGGTCACATCCAATTACATATCTTGTTTTCTTCAACTGAATAAATGTAGATATCAAGTGCAGGATGAAATCTACAAACCAGAATATATTATAAACAACAAAGAGACTTGTGACACCTTAAAGCCTGACAAATTTATTGTGGTATAAGCTTTTACAGTGCTACTTTACTGGATGTATGGAATGCTGGGTGGAGAGAAAGAGAGAGAGAGAGAGATAGCAAGCGAGAGAGAGAGAGAGCCATGAGATCAAAGTGAAATGAAATGCAAAAGTGTAAATGTAAAAATAATGACAATGACCATTCACAGTGTGATATTAGCAAAAGTATCTTCGGAGTAGCCTTGGTCAGCTAATTAGCCCCTGTGGTGTGATCCCTATTAAGGACACAGATAATAGAACTGAATTTCTTGATAAGCTGTAATACTCTAGCTTTCCTTTAAAGTTCCTTTGTTCAAGAATCACAGCCTTAAGGCCAGTTCCAGAGTGTCCTGATAGGTTGAAATGTTTTCCTTTTTGTTTCTGAGTATTGCCGCTTTTTATGTGAAATCTGTGTTTATTTATTCTTTTATGCTTAACCAGTTTGTCCTATGCAGAATGCAGAAAGACAGGTGAAGATGAGCAGATGAATGAATCTCGAGGCTGACATGATTAGGTCTTGTAATAGTGTGCTTGGGTGGAAACGATGGTCTCTGGTTTTCCTGTAGGAGGACCTTTTGTGTCTCCATTATGAAGCCTGTTGTTGCTGGAGGTTGTGGGAGGTGGCTGTAGCTAAGATCAGGCCTGTCACCCGAAGTCTGTGAGAATGAAGCACCACTTTCTAGAACAGGCTGTAGGTCACTAATGATACTTTAGCTAGGAGCTATAGGTGACAAGTGGTGTTTTGTAACTTTCTCTTCTTTCAAGTAGTAGGTCATTGCTGGGCCATCAATCCTGCTTCCGCACTTCATTTGCTGGGTCTAAGAAATGCCTGGTGTAAATCCATCGGTTGTGAGTCTCCCTTTGACAAGTCATAACAGATTTGACTGTATTTTAGGGCTTGGCTGTAGACTAAGGATTTTGTGGTATGCTTTGGGTAGAAGCCAGAAGAAAGAAATATATGTCTAGTGGGCAATAGGTTTCAGACATAAGGTGGTGCACACATATCCATTGAACAGCACTGCCCAAAAGGCAGTGCGCAGTATTTTAGGCTCAGTCAGGCTAAAAGTAGCTGAACTCCTGATGGAACTTCTCAAGTGCTTCCCATTCATGGGTCCATGTATTAAAGATGTTGTCAGTGTAACTCAAGCAGAAGAGAGGCTTTTGAGGGCAGGAGTTGAGAACCCATTGTTCTAAGTCAGCCATGAAAATGTTAGCTTACTGTGGGGTCACCATGCAAGTGCCCACAGCATGTGCTCCTAAAAGAAGAAGTAACTGTGAATGTGTATCAAGTAACAGAGTGATGACTAGATATACTGTGATATCGTCAGGAAATAATATTCCTGATGACATGTGGCCCATGTTTGTGGGGAATATAGGTATAAAGAGCACCAAGACTGAATTGAGATTCAAAATGACTTTAACAGGTGGGAAAATTGGGTGCAAGCTAACAAAATGAATTTCAATAGGGACAAATGTAAGGTTCTGCACTTAGGTAGGAAGAACCAGATGCACATTATAAGATGGGGAACACCTGGCTTACTAGCAGCATATGTGAAAAACGTCTAGGAGTCTTGGTGGACCACAAGGTTAACATGAGTCAACAGTGTGATGCAGCAGCAAAAAAAGTTAACGCTATTCTAGGCTACATCAACAGAAGTATAGTGTCCAGATCAAGGGATGTAACAGTACTACTCTATTCTGCCTTGGTCAGACCCATGGGCATAGCCAAAGGGGGGCAGGGAGGGACGGCTGCCCCCCAATCAATAAGAATACATAGCAAACTGAGGTTCTGCCCCACCCCTGAACAAAAGGCCTCTCCCCCAACAAAAATCCTAGCTACGCCCATAGTCAGGCCACACCTGGAGTACTGTGTTCAGTTCTGGGCACCACAATTTAAGAAGAATATTGACAAGCTCCAATGTATGCAGAGGAGGGCAACCAAAATGATCCAGGGTCTGGAAAAGAGGAGACTGAGAGGAGACATGATAGCCACCTTAAAATATCTCACATGGAAGATGGAGCAAGCTTGTTTTCTCCTGCTCTGGAGGATAGGACTCGAACCAATGGCTTCAAGTTATAAGAAAGGAGATTCTGACTAAACGTCAGGTAAAAAACTTTTTTTCCCCTTTTTCTTCTTATAGGAAAAACTTTCTGACATTAAGAACGGCTCAACAGTGGAATGGTCTCCCTTGGGAGGCAGTGGACTCTCCTTCCTTGGAGGTTTTTAAGCAGAGGTTGGATGGTCATCTGCCATGGATGCTTTCGTTGAGATTCCTGCTTTGCAGGGAGTTGAACCCAGTGACCATCAGGGTCCCTTCAAACTCTACTGTTCTGATTCTATAATTAGTCAAGGGCTAAACACATCAAAAACAATATCAAGGAAGATGTATTTGTATGTATGGAGCTGGCTCCCCTTTGCTATTTTTGTCCCCAAACTGACACACCACACAAAGTTTTGCCAATATCAGATGGCTTTACCATGCTTTGAGAAGGCTATTGTTAAACACCAGGAGCAAATGTCAGACTTACAGTTCAGTTTTGTTCTAATGAACAATTTATGCCATCTTCCTTGCAGCTTAATCGCCACTTCTAAGGGATGTGATTAAAAATATTTCCTTAGTTGACCTTTCTTGCTCTAGAACTTCCATAATGTAGCAAACTATAGGAAAACTGGTATTTCTCAATACATAGCAACAGGTTCAGCTTGGATAAACTTCTTTCTGAGCTCTAGAATGCTACAAATGCTGAATCTGAGCCCTAAAACACTGACATTAATAAGAACAAGCATGTCTGAGCATGTTGTGAATGCATTTCTTTCACCAAAGTAACAGACTTCAGCCTGATCACTACTATTTAAAAATCATCTAGCTAACCCAGGTTTTTTCCCTAAATAATGGAGGTGTAAGATGACATTTATATGAACATTAAATCTTTTTCATTTTTTAGGGTGAAAAGAAGCAGTTATGTACTTACTTTCCATTCCCATATTTTATGCGGATATCTTTGCTTTTCTTCAGTTCTCTGCCATCTTTGAACCATTTGTAGGATGGCTGGGGATTTCCAGCACTTGCCTCGCATTTCATAGAAACTTTTGCTCCCACTTCCACATTCAAGCTCTTCAATTTCTTGAGCTTTGGACGGACAGCTGGAAAGAGAGAGAAAAAGCAGCCCTATTAAGATCGCCACTGGATCTCTCCAGCCGCGTATGGTGTTAGAAACCAACAAGAGAAGTCTTGCTCTTGACCACTAAGTCTTTGGATTTATTAAAGGCTTCATTTCATGAGCAGCTACTGTAAGGAACTACAAGTCATCCTTAACAAGGGGAGGTTCTCCCCACCCCAAATGTCAAAGCACAGAAGGACAGCTGCATTTCATACTTTTTGCATTTGGCATAAAAAGATGCTGGAGTTTCAGGCTCTACAGCACTTCCCATCCCTGACTCCTGCTGCACATTTTCATTCCGGTACCTCCCCACTCTCCTTAAGCATGGATGACAGCACTCATTCCTCCCCAAATGCGCAAAAGACACAAATGCACACCACATCCAACTGGGAAGCAGCATCAACTCAGGCAGGGCTTTCTCCGAGAAGGATTCCTGCCCTCGTTCTGGCGTTGCTGCTGCCACAATCTCCTGCGCTGCGTTCTCTCTCTTACCTCTGCTGCTGTTGGCAGACATGCTGTTGATTGCACAGCCTGTGCAGATCTGAATGGTAGCATTTGGCTACAGGAAGGGGAGAGATGGGGAGGAGGACTCTCTTCCTCTCAGTTCAGCTACAATCACTGCAGGGTTTTTTTTAATGCTCATGTGCCTGCCTATTCATTCTGGGAACGTACCATATAGTAGCTTTGCTGCTGCCAAGTGGGAAAATGCTAAAGCACATCTCCGTAGAGAAAGTAACTGGGAATGGAGAAGGTCATTCGGCTTTTCCAAATGACAGTGTTCCATACTGAACAATAGCAGAAAGGAGCCAAAAAGGAAAGTCAGCCTGCGAAAGAGGATAAACAAGGAGGGCTCTGGGTCGCAAGAGTGCAGAAATCCAGCAATTAGGTAATTAGATGCCTCTTTACAACATCACCAGAGAAACAGTCCAGACCATCAGGTATCAGCGGCGGCTGCTGTGCCTATGACCTTTACTGGGTGCTTTTGTAGCAATTTAGCTAACTATGCACCAGGAAAGGATGCACAAATTCAAATGTTCCTCAACCAACCTGCCACTGCCACATAATGAAAGGGTGCTTATAGCAAGCTTCCTGATAATTACTCTTCGCTAATAAAACTTCACTGATAAAACTTCTTTTGAAATAATGGAGACCTCATTTGTCTTAATGCCGAAGAGCATGTCAAAAGTCAATAATCGTGCTATTGATGTCAGTTATCTTAGCATGAGCTTCCTCTTATTTATTCTGCATTGCCTAAGATATATTCTTACAAAGCATATTGCTTAGCCTGCTTTTTTTTTTTTTTTTTTTTTAGAAGGAGGAGCAACAGTGAGACCAAATGAGGGAAATTTTGTTCATGCATTCTCTCTCCCCTATGTCTTGCCAAATTCAGTATTTAAGCTTCAAGATATTACCAGACTTAAAGGCCACCATACATCAAATTATTTTTGGAGTGGCAATCACAGTGTCAGATTCTTAGAATTCGCATTGCGCCTTGCTTGTCTCGCCCTCCCTAAGATAGTTAAAAAATCACTACAAAATAATTTCAAAATGATAAAAATACATACTGGAAGTAGTAAAAAGTTCCAAAACGTACCTTAGATAAAAATGGTAGAAATGTCAATATACCTTAGACTGCAGAACTCTTGGGAGGATATCTTGAGAGTGGGTTTTTAAAAAGGATAAGAGCATAAGAGGTTGCTGGATCAGGCCCACCTAGTCCAGCATCCTGTTCTCACAGGAGCCAAGCAGAGGCCTCCGTGGGGAACTTGAAGCAGGACTGGAGCACAACAGTTCTCATCCTGCCTGTGATTCCCAGCAACTGACATTCAGAGGCAAATTCCTCCAAGAATTTCTCCGCTTCTCATTTAAAGCCCCCCAAGTCTGTGGCCACCATTTATCCCACAGTTTAGCTGTTTGCTAAACTATTGAGATGCCTGAGGGCTCTCATGGAGGAGAGGAAGGAGCTCCAGGGTGCATATAGTACATCTGTGTGATGGACGGGGAGAAATTTGTTTCGATACTTTATATGGTTCTGTAAGTGAATTCCTCCACTGTCTCCTGGTGTTTTGCAGCATATTTTAGAGTGGAGTGGAAGAACTGGCTGGTGATAGTCGTTTGGTGACAGAGCACAAGATATTGAAGAGAGAATGAATATTGGAGTGATTAAATAGATGGAGTGTATGAGGTACAGGGGGGTATGGAATTAGTGATATTAGAAAAGGGTAGGCACAGTATGATTTGTGTAGATGTAAGACATAATTTCTGTGTATTGTGTATCTCTCAGTGGTAGAGATGGATGAATCTGACAATTTTGGTTTCTCTGTTAATCATTCTTCCAATCTTAAATTCAGTTCTCCACAATTCCACATCAATTTTCAATTTATTTATCTTTAAAAGTTCTCCTCAGCATTTCAGTGTGAATTTCTCCTTAATACACACATTTTATCCATTCTTGCCAAACATGCAAGCTTTCCAAGCAATTCTCCCTAATACATTTTTGTTTCTTATTTTCACTAATGTATGTGTTTTTTCTGAATGCTTTATAATCTTTTAAATTTTATAAACGACTTAGGGACTGTTTTAGTATAAAAACATATATAAATATAGGAATTAAATTAAACATATTTTTGCTAGGATGGAAATCATCTTATATTTATCAGCAGCAGCAAACTTCAGGCAGGGTCCACATAATGCTTTTTAAAAAAAAATATGTTTTAGGTATTATTATTTTTATTTATTTTTTGCTTTGTTCAATGTCCTGAAGAAGAATCTGTGAAACCCAAAAGCTCAGTGCAGGCAAAAGCCAGCTCAGTCTGTCTGAGAACAACTATCCTGGGGAGTACGAAATCTTATGTAAGTTCCTGTTTGAGCAGCGCAGATTCAGAAGCCTACCAAATAATCAATACAAACACAGATATTTTAGCAACAGCCCTGAGCACGTCCGCAAAGCTCAAAAAATAATGTACAATACCCAAGGGATAGCAGCCCAGCAGAAAGAATGCAGAGTTATCAAGAATATGCATTTTCTTTTTCAGGACAAAAAAGGGTATGCGGTCCAAGGAAGAGGCATGATCCAGATGATTTGCATTTGCTTTCATAATGAACAACAAAAGACGCTGCTTCCATGTATCTATACACATTCATTTTGATATGCAGAGAGAGTTGAGGTCTCTCCTCAGCTATCCTCACTTAGAACCTCTGATAAGCCTAGAAACAACCACCCGAGCTTGTGGAGTGAGCGTTGTAAATTAATTAGGCACTGTGTGAAGATGTGCTTCCTCTCATCTGCCAGTAAATTTCACTGGGTGCCTTAGTCAAAAATGATGATAACTTTTCCTTTAACCCTACACAATTCATTAAATGTGAATAGTGCTATAAATGACTATGGTGTTGCCTTCCTCTTAATTGTTGCCTTCTTCCGAAACTAAAACCAAACCAGAGTTGTATCCACCTTGCTGCTCAGAGTAGACCCATTGGGCAGGATTCACCCAAGGAGCCCCATCAGCAGAAGTCCTGCACAAGGCTCTGCGCAACAGGGCTTTCCCCCTGCATGCCCGCCCCCCAGCCTGGGGACATTGGGAGAACCTGCAGAACAGCATGCAAGGGGAATTGTTCCACCTGGCAAACGGAAATGCTTGGGCAGACAGAACATCTGTAACAGAGCAACATTGAATTTCAACTGAACAACCCATGAGGCAAAGTGAGGTGACCACCTTGGGAGGCTGGATTCACAGGGGCAATAGACAGCGGCGGAGCATATGCCACACTGCCCAGGGCAGGTGCTGCCCAGGGCGGACGTGCTCCTGAGGGGGGCATGGCGCTTGGGTGCCCGGAGCAGTGAACGTGCTCTATAGCTGGGGGCGAAGCGAGCCACCCATGGAAGTCATTTGCCACACTGCCCTCCCACGACTCCCAAGCCTTCCCCAAGCTGTCAAAACGAAGGGGTAAGGGAGGAATGCCAACGGCTCGGGGTAGGCTTGGGAGTCATGGATGGGCAGTGCATAGAATGTCATCCCCCTTTTTAAAAAGTGTGCAATTCTTGGTTGACCCTAATATTCCAGGTTAAAAGCTTGTTCAGGGAATAATTTACATGTAAATTACAATTTGAAAGTTAAGTTCATACTTTCAAAATAAGTTACCTAATTGTTTTTGTAAGTGGCAAAAGTAACAAACCACCAACGACTAAAAAGTCCTCCTCCCACCAAAAAACCCCAACATTAATTATTTCTTTGAAAGTAACTATGTGACAGATGGTAAAGCTGTCAAATGAACAAATATTTTTGAGCTGGTCTATAGCACACTAACCTGACATTTCAGTAAACTTCCCACCATTTTGACCTGTTTCCTAGACAGTCCATTAACTGTGCAATCCTATGTCTACTTAGAAGTAAGTAGAGTGGTGCCTTGCAAGACGAAATTAATTCGTTCCGCAAGTTTTTTCGTCTAGCGAATTTTTCGTCTTGCAAAGCACGGTGTTGGAAAAAGTTTTGGAAAAGCTTCAAAAATCACCAAAAACCTCAAAAAAGGCTCCTCGAAGTCAAGTCGCAACTTATTAACGGTGTTAACGAAAAGGAAACAAAACTTGCAAGACATTTTCGTCTTGCGAAGCAAGCCCATAGGGAAATTCGTCTTGCGAAGCAGCTCAAAAACCGCCAAAACCCTTTCGTCTAGGGAGTTTTTCGTCTTGTGAGGCATTCGTCTTGCGGGGCACCACTGCAACACCAAGTTCAGTGAGACTTTCTCTAGAGTACAGAATCACAGAATCAACAGAATCATAGAATTGTAGAATTGGAAGTGACCCTGAACCCCCCTGAAATGCAGGAATCTCAACTAGATCATACATGAGAGATGGCCCATGCAACCTCTGCTTGAACACCTCCTCGGAAGGAGAATCCACCACTTCCTGAGGGAGTCTGTTCTACTGTCTAAAAGCTCTGTCAGAAAGTTATTCCTGCTGTTTATTCAGAATCTCTTTTCTTGTAA